ATGCATATGATTCTGTGACTTCATTGGAGGACAAATCGGTAAACTACAGAGCAATATTACCTGAGTAATATTGTATTATGAAGCACAAACAAGAACAATAACTACAGCAGCAGTATTGATAATCTTCTAGTTATTGGTTTGCATGAAGCACATAATCTTCTAGTAGTTTTGAGTTTATAGTGAGGCCTATGATGATAGTAACAATAATACTGCAACAAATTTGGGGTGAGGGTGGGTGGGTGGGGCGAATTTAAGCAAATGGCCTTTGTAAATACGGATGTACAATCAAGAGGCAGTACCAATCTCAAGAACAGCTACTGTGAATTTTTACATATGTTCCATACGTTATGCCCTCTTTTGAGCTCCGCTTAATGGACAAAGATTCTAGCATCGCATATTCACAGTGGTTTAAAAGCAGGAAACAGCAGTATTATCTGCCTAGATTCTTCACCCTTTTGTCTAGTGAACTGAGAAAACTGTTGGGTTTCATGTCTCGTTAGTCTTCTCGATTGGCTGCCTTAAATTATGATCTTTTTTTGATTAGTCATTGTGAAATATGTCCATTGCATTCATGATGTTTTAGATGGTAAACAAGGATGGCTGAAAGACATGAATAATATTAAATTTTAATTATTTAAAGTATTGGATTATTGTTTGGGAAATTATTCTCTGTGGGATGTTTAAAATTACATCACGGCAGTATAATTGTTCCAGTACACAGCTTTTAAGTGTTTTTCTTTATCTTTTAAAAATTTAATTCCGACATGTAAATCAACCATTTAATGTGAGGTAAATAATAGATACTGGATTTAAATCTACTCAGCCAGCATTTTAAAGAGGTAATTTATGCATTAAGTGAAGAAACACATGCACGACAGTAAAAGGTTCTGACCTGTGGAAAATCACAAATTAAAAAGCTGTTGCCTTTTTAACAGCTTGACAAGCCCATTCATCTCACATTAAAGTGGTGCCTTATTTACTCCCTTTAAGTAGGCAAAAAAGCACAGCACATGTACATTGATTTACAGCATCTAAGGGTTTTATATGTAGTATTGTATAATGCGTCCTTTACGGTTAAGTTACACAGATGGTAATGGGGCTATGGTTGTCATTAAGGATCTAGAATTAAATTAAATACAGACTAAACTCGCATCACGATTCTTACTTGTAAATTTTCATGAGCTTGTTGAAAAATGTCCCCAACATTTAGACTGAGACTGGTGCAGTGAGAAGATATCGATGGAATCTTAGCTGCTGTCACATTACTGATACTAGGTCCCAATGGATTGGCATCACTGAGGCAGAACCCTGTCATGGCCAATATCAGAGCCCCAAGAAATGCCTGTGTCACTGTCGTAAATAAGTAACCATTAGAAGGATGGAATCACCAGATTAAAAAATACATTAAAATGTTAAAAAGCTCTTTTAGGACTGCAGAAAAGTAGTCTTTGTTCCCGTCTATTCACTCAAAATCCAAGCCTGGGTATTCAGTCAATAATAGCAGATGGTCACAAAAGTAGCTAGAATCTGGGTTATTCATCCTGACTTGCTTGATAGCTTCTCTTCTAAATATGTCAATAAAAAGATTACCTTACATGGAGAAAATATAGCTAGACTCGTGAATTAGCAAACTGAGATATACCTGAGTTATTCATGCTGGTAGCAGTAGAGGTAGCTAAAGATAGACAGGCATGCTCAAAAACTTGCAAGCTTGTACAGGCTCCTGTATCTGTGACTTATGATTGTCGGCACTTCTGCTAATGATGTCATGGTTCTGGCTGTGTGTGTGGCTTTAGACTTTCTTTGTGGCTCGTATTTGGACCACGTCTATTTCTTTAACTATCAGATTCTTCCCAGCTGTTTCGTCAGGTGTGGGCGGCGCCTTCTCCTAAGGCTATATAAGCCGGATGTCCACTATACCTCCTTTGCTGGAGTGTCTGATTTAGTTATCACTACAGCCAGAAGATATCTCTAGTCAGGGATTCTTAGCGAATGTCTTCGCAGTATATTTGTGGTTCTTTTCTTCAGGGAAGTTTCCTTTTTCTTTCCCTATTTGTTTGTTTCTCTCTCGCTCTGCTTCCTGGTTCGTATTGTTGGGTGTTCGTTTTGGAAGCGCGAGAGCTGTTCTGTTTCTTCGTCTATTTTTCTCCCTGTGGGTATTTTACGTCCTTACTGGTCCTATTTTCTCCTAGCCGCTGCATTTGGCCTCCCGATTCCTTCGGCCATTACAAATGGGGGTAAAACTAAATCATCTCACAAGTGCATTGACAGTTAAATAATATTGGTTTTTTTTGTTTTGTTTTGTTTTTTCCTTTAGATGGCAGAAATGATACTTCCTTGACGATGGTTAAAAGGGTGGTGGTATACCAAAATCAGTGAATTTATGCTGAGAATATTATAAGACATTAATTTTATCATGCATTTTATTACAAAAGAAACATATGGTGAGATTTATTACATTATTGACTCTTAATTATATCTATTTAGGAGTCCAAAAAGCAACACAGCTGGCAGCTGTGGGCCAAAATGAAAGAAAATGGAAAAAACGGATGCTTTTTGCCTATTATAAAATAAGCACTGAAAGGATTTTGTATCAATGAGGTTTTCAAATTTTGGTCATCCACTTGCATTACATCATCTCAGTTGTTCATTTTAGATTCATCAATTTACGCAGACAAAAAGACCATTTAAAATATGTTCGGGCATGGTTAATCCTATAAAATTACTTTGAAAAACTAATTTAGATTTCTCATGATTTAATCCACAATAGAATAAAGTACTGTATTTCAGGTGCAGGATTTAGTATTTTTTATTTTTCTGAAAAAGGAGACGTGTCTTCATCTGCTCTGTTGCATGAATGTCCTGTATAACCTACCCTTTGAAGGTACTGCCTCTATGAACTATAGATGTGTTTTAGGGGTATATCATGAATGAAATTTATTTGAACAACACAATTTTACCTGCATATTTTCAACAATTTCATGTCTCATGAAAAGACTGTGTACAGTGAACAAAAATATACAGTGCCCCCCAATAATAGGCCACTGAAATATCTGCTAAAAAGATTATGAAAAAATAAGTTTGCTTATAATAATTAATAATGAAGAAGATTAAGACATATGGCTAAGTTAAAAATCACCCTGGAAGAGGATGTGTGCCTGGCCTGTACCCTTGTATTGTGAGGGCAATTGCTCCTGGTAAAGTAATCACCATGGATCACAGTTGGAGAAATGCAGACATTAATTATGTCATGGTATCAAAAACTCACCAAAACTGCAATTAATTGCCATTTGCAAGACTCAAGTACAACATTTTTTGGTAGGGTGCCTAAAAAAAGCCTCGAATATCATCAAAAAACTCGTGCCTACAGTTTGGCAAATGTCGCCAGAATTTCAAATGGAGCTGGGTTCTTTGGTCAGGATACACCAAAATAGAGTGATTTGGTAATAAATACAAGAGGAAAGTTTGGCATAAAAGCAAAGTTATCCATTCTGAATATTATTGCATCCCAAGCTTGAAGTACAGTATGGTGGTGGATCGTTGATGTAGTGGGGTTGCATTTCTTCCAAAGGTCTGGACAACTTGTTCAGATTCATGTTATCATGGATTCCATTAAGTACCAGCAGATATTAAATGACGACTTGACTGCTTCCACTAGAAAGCTCTGGTGGAATCTGTTGCTCCTCAATAGGCTAGGCAAATCAGAAAATCAGGCCAATGGTTAATGACCCTTGAACCCTATCCCACTAGATTAGCACCATTCCAGCAACTTGAGTCTTCTGCAGACATCATTGCTTCTACAAACTGGAAGCGGGCCAGAGCATACTACCTCCTAACACATGAATTTAAACAATTCACACATTGGCATAAAGTTACTTTAGTGACCTCCAAATTGCCTCAATCGCTTGTCACTGGTGTCAACATGGATGATAATCCTAGAGTATTTATGCTTAGGTTTAGCCATGATCTTTAAATTAGCCTCACCGTTGGTAACGCTGGCACCAGACAAAAACTGCACTAAAGTTGCTCAGGTGTCCCTAATCTCATGTTTCACAGAGTTCTTTCCCCTATGGTCAGGGTTTTCTCAGTTGGTATGTTACTGAGTGGTGAATAATGATTAGAAATGTGAGTGGAGTGATGCTCAGTGGCCTGAGGCCATAAACTGTGCTTCATCTGTTTCATGGTTAATCCATCCTGCTGCGAGGAAAATGACGAGGGAAATACTGGCATCTTAACTAACATCCGACTCAGGTAAAAGGGAGTATAACTGTGTCTCACTCTCCTGCATGTAATGTAATGTCCAGTTACGGGCCTCTAACTCAGTTTCTGTGCCAGGTCTAAATGAAGCGGATATACTTCACTTTCTACTGTATCAATTACCATATCATAATTATATATCTGAAATACGACTTTTGGGGATATCATGTTTCGCCCCACCCGCCGCTGCCGCCACCACGTCTGCAGATTTTAGCCGTTGGTGTGATAACTCACAAAATACTTTACATTGGCTTCTCAGTTTTGGCGTATGGGTAGATATGGTAGAGAGGATGAACTGATTAGATTTTGGGCAAGTATGCACTCCTAGGTTTGCCACCAGGTGGCGCTTTATATTGAAAAAATCAGTTTTTTAACCATATCTCTGGAGCAATTACTTACACAGACCTCAAATTTGCCTCATATTGTAGGTCTAGTAAAGGGGAATCTAATAAAGGGGGCTTCGAGGATTGGGGAATTTCGGGAATATACCCTTTGCTGTCGGCTGCCAACAGCGTAGGCCTAGTTTTTCATTTGAATTTATCCCATCCTGGTTACTTAGGGGCAGTGGGCAGCCACAGTGCAGCAACCGAGGACCAACTCCAGTTCTGAGGCCAGAGCGCTGGTCGGGGGCACTGGTTAGAGAGTTCCAATAGAGCGTGTTTTTGTTGGTAGGGAAACTGAAGTACCTGGTGGAAACTGACATGAACACGGAGAGAACATGTGAAATCCTGGCAGGGAGGTCCTGGCCGGCTGGGACTCAAACCCAGAACATCCTTTTTGCAAGACAATAGTGCTAAACACTGCGCTACTGTGCCTGACGCATGGACACTATTACTCATAACACTGGCTGAAAAACTAGGGAAAAGTATAAAAATGGTAATATGCCTTGACTGTATTTCATTGTAGTCTCTTGTTTGTCTAGAAAAGTGAGTAATAATAATAATAATAATAATAATATGCCCTATATATGGTTTTTGCTCAATATATTTCCACTTTGGGTCAGGCAAAACCAAACTTGTTTTATGTTCTGTTTGTACAAATGTTGGCTACCTCAACGGTAGCCCTCCAGTGGTGACCATCTATCACTTCTCTTTTAAGGAGAGCAGTCCCTTTTCTTCCATAAAGTTATACTGTTGTGCACTGCGACATGTCTATATGAGGGTATGTATTTGTTCGCACATCACTGCTGTCATGTGGCTCTATTCAGTCTAGGTGCATGTGTGAGTGTGAGTGCTCCTCTGTGGGTAAATTGAGGGAGCGGGGGGGAATCTATAGACCGCTATCAGGGACTGTTCTCACTTGAAAGGCACCTTGGTCCAGTTGTCACATTGAATCTTGAATTAGAAAGTCGCAATCTGCATGCCTGAATGAACATGTACCTCGCTGTTGAGAGGCTTTAATTCAAATTACCACCGTAGTTCTAATGGCTGGTCATAAACTGCAGATACCCGTGTTCCGCTGTAACTGCGAAAGATGACTGACAGTGGAGGATGTAAGCTTGGTCTGCTGAACTCCAAACAGAATAATACAGGATATGTAAAACATTAACATCACTGCATATTATATCGGGCTAAAGCCAAATAATAATGACCGGGGATCAAATGTCACTCCAGAGGCTCTTTGGTTCTTTAAGGTTCCAATCCAAAGCTGCCTCTGTTGCTGATTTATTGGATAAAATGAGCAATGACCAGTGATGCTTCCAGGCTATCCAAAACATTCTGGTTCTTAGGTGTCCTACTAAATTGCAGTATATGCAATCGACTTGAGTTGGCGTCTGCTAACACTAGCGCTCATAATTATTTGCAGAAAGCCCTTGACCACTGAAAAATAATAAATTATTTGTCACCAGCATTGCTTAATCCCTAATTAAAAAAAGGATACATGACTGTATGCACTGATAAATGGTCTGCATCCAGGCCTCTGCCCTTTGTGTAGAATTGGATCAAACAAGCGCTAATGAACACAGATCAATAGAACACTGAAATCCACCCTTCCTGAAGGTGGTGGCCTAACGTCGCTGTTAATTAAGTGTCTGCACCAGTCGCACTTGTCCCTCTAATTGAGTCTCTTTTATTGTGGCCCACTAAGCTGCTGCAATAATTTTTTTGTCCAGCAACACAACTTATCTCGACCTGAAACTCTCTTCTCTCTCCTGAAGCACCTCCTTTCTCCCCTAAAGCTCCTCCTCTGTTCCAGAGTACCTCCTCAGCTGCCTCAGCAAGGCCTCCAGTGATCACCGGCTTTTATGGAAATCTCCATGCTTTGATGCCTTGCTTTGCCGGAAACCCATTATACAGAGACGTGTTCGGATTGCAGCACAAAGAAAGTGCAGACTGTCACCTATAATGCATGTGTATGTACATCCACTTCGACTGGACTTTGGAGGAATTATAGCCCCTTAAAATTGTGTCACTGTGCAAGTAATTACTGAGCTCACGGTACAGCAAGTTGAATGCAAACTTCACCCTATATTGGCGGTTCTCAGCGTCAGTCCTGGGGTCCTCTTGTGTATACTGGTTCTTGCTCCAACCATACATGCAGTTGTTAATGAATTTTCAAGCTGTTAATGTGTCATAATCAGGTGCATTTCATTTTTACCGTTAACAGGTGCAGTTATTTAATTAACCCCTCAGGCCGCATTTGAACAGAAATATCAATGCATACCATGAAGAATAAAATGTTAAAATGCAGCTTAAGGGGGTGAAAAACTGAGGAAAACACAAAGGCACACAATTAAGACAAATTAACAGCTTGTTATGATCCTGCCATTGCAATTGTGGATGTAACAAAAATCAGCATACACAGGTGGGCCCAGGACCGATGTTGAGGACAGCATACCTGAGAGGTTGCACTGCGGGGAAGTAATATTAAACCGTAACAGACACAATAGAAGGTGGACATCAAAGCTCCCATAAATGAAATATGCCTGTGACAGAAAACTATTGAGTCCAGGCTTAAACCAAAGGGGAAAATTCAACAGTACACACAGAATTTCTATCCTTTTCGAGACCCGCAGTGTGTGTTTATGCAGTGAAATAAGTTCCTATTGGGGGCTAAATTTAGTGGCGTGTCACTGTGCAGGACTTTTTTATAGTCTGAAGAGGAATACTTGGCTCTGAATTTTTGTTTCTGCTCCACCTTTCGAGGGAGCGTGGGACAGATCGGGAACCTCAGCCAGTGGTCTCCTCTGATAGCAAGAGAGAAATATAAAACTTGCTCAAAATCTTGTTTCTTACTAAAGAAAAATAATTAGTTCACAGGTATGGTACATCTATCGGAGTAACCACTGATTTTGTGATAATCGACCATAGGGGGGACCAAGTTTCTGTCATCAAATTGACTAAATTTGACAATATGAAAGCAAGTGATACTTGGGACTGAGGGGAAAGAGGACAACTCTAAAGCGAAGTGAAGACTGTGAAATACAGGCACAAATGGCACAAAGGCTGGCATGTCAGCAATGCAGGCAAACCAATGCTTTCAACTGCCTGTGGTTCTGTCCAGAAAGCATTATTGGAAAAGTATCTTGATACATCACAAATGTATTTACAGAAATACCGAATAATCAGGTCTGAATGAAAGGATGCAAAAGTCTGTGTAAATTACAATGGTGGAACAAACCTGCTACTTGGCTGATTAGCTTGTGCTATACTTTACCAATCCGGTAAAGTGGTATGGGGTATACAGTGATATTGCGCTTAACTCTGTGATTTTTTTCAAAATATTTGCACCGATAAAAAACATGTAGCCACAGAGCACTTTATTAGGAATGCCTCACTAATACTGAGTAGGGTGTCACTTTGTTCTCAGATCAGCCACAATTATTTTTGGCATGAACCTTACAAGATGTTAGAGACTACCCTTTCAGGTACTGGTCCATGTTGCTTTGTCTGGCGAGTGAGAGGTCAGTGAAGTACATTGAACTCATTGTTACATTAATGAAATGAATTTGAGACCGCTTTTACTCTGTGACATATAGCATTTTTAGCCTGAAAGTAGCAATAAGAAGATGGGTAAATTGTTGCCATAAAAGAATGCGCATGGTTGACAGCAATTCTCAGACTGCGGCATTCATACAATGGCCCAAAGTGTGCCAAGAAAACAACACCATTCCGCCATGACCAGCAGCCTCAACTATTGAGGCCAGGCGGGTTAGATGTTGGATTGATGAAGTTGACACCAAATTACGACCCTGCCATCTGTGTCTTGCAGCAGACGTCAACATTCATCAGCCATTCTGCTCTCACCTTTCTTATTTGCAAATGGCTAATGTGAATACTACCTGAATATCCTGACCTTTATCTGCATGATCTTAAGCACTGCACTGAAACCACAAGATTGGTTGATTGAATAATCCCACGAACAAGCAGATGTGTTCAAGACCAAAAGTTCGCGTGTCAGGTCTCGCAAGGGAAAGACACGCAAGTTTTGAAAGACTTCACATTCTTGTGCGGTTTTCAACAAGGTTTTATGTCAAATTCTATTCAACAAGCAGTGTTCACGCGTGGATACCGATATTGAGAATGCTGGACGTCATCTCAACAGGCGAGACTGCTCGCTGGCGTTCTCGTTTGTCCACACAAGACCAAACTTTTTTTTAATTGTTTACGAGTCAAGTATACTGGACAAAGAAAATTAGGGATCACCCCAATTTTCGAATTTGAAATATTTGATAGTTCAAATTATGTTCCATATCATATTTCAATATTAAAAATCAGAGTGATCCCTAACTTTCTTTGTCCAGTATACTTGAACAGGCCACAGGTATTCAAAATAAAGTGCTCGGTGAGAGTATATTCTAAGAGAAAAGTGAGACAGACCCGCAGTAATGTTTCACATAACATGTCTCTCATAAAATAAAAGGATTTAACGCAGTTTTTCACGGGATGAACAGGAGCTGAAAGTGGAAGACTGCATTGAATGCTGTTATTTCATGGGATGCAGTTCAAATAATTGGTTAGCCTTGTTAAATGTTTTATGAACGTATCCCTGTGAAATACAGCTGTGTGTGGCATAGGCCTGGTAATATTCAAATCATTTGTCTGGGGAACATAGTGAGAAATTTATCTCACTATGTGAATAATAACCATCATTAGTTATTTATTGTGTATCTTAATGGACATAATGGTTTCTCAAGGCAATGCATCACTTATCATTCATACTTTAAACAATTTTACATCTGATATCGCTCCTTTTTATGCTCACACCATGACAAACCATCTGCACTGGCCTTTGTTCCAGCATATGGGAGTTAGTAAAAGGGTGGTAAATGTGCAGGTAGCCAAATGTATGGTAAAACCAAAGGCCTTCTTTCATATTCAGCACCTAAATGACAAAGGTGAGCAGATGTAGGCTACAGAAATATATATTTCAAAGCTAGTGTTCAAAAAAGTGTTGTTAAACGTTGATGTTCAACCTTCTGTGTCTGATTCAAAAAATGTTTATAAAGTGTTGATCTCAAAACTTTGATTCTATACGAACCTCAAATCCTAAATAATTGGTTTCCACATACGGCAGGATACTAACAGCGTACACGTATATCCTGAAAAGACATCCTTCACTTCAGTCTATCACACAAGTCATAATGCTGCATATTGCGTGTATTTTCCCTTTATCGTCTGCATTCCATGTAAGTAAAATCACAGAAAGCATGTCATTTTGAAATTAGCTGCGATTATGTCTGACCTTTCATGAGCAGACTTTCAAATGGTGCTGTAATTATGCTGCCTCAGGTGCAGTTATTTAATTTTTAATTTGAAGTGAGTGATCTCCATATCAGGCTTCATACTTACAAATCCAACATTTTAAATGTTTC